AGCCCATGGCCTGTGTACCCTGCCTGGAGGCACGAGTGCGCCTGGCCTTGCCACCTGCCACAAGCACCGCCACGGAGCCCCGTCTCTCCGTGCAGCCAGGCACCTCTGGGATAGAGGATAGCGGTGATGGGGGACAGTGGTCACCAGTGACTGGGGCTGCCTCGTCCCAGCCCAACGTTACTGGGCTGCTGCTCCTCTCCGGGCACGCATACACCTCATCCCGCTGCGTGGCCGTGGAGGTCTGGGCACCCTCGGGCCCCATGCTGCGCGGCCGAACCGTGGTGCGTAGATGTGGGGCACTGGGGATGGGTGTCCCAACAGTGTCAGTCCCTGGCCACTGGGGATGTGGGCACTGGCGTCAGCACATCTCTCTGGCACGGGGGTCCCGTTCCTGTGCCCTAAAGAGGTGGGTGCTGGCAGTGCCGGTGCCTCACCACAGTCGGGTGGTGGTTTTCCTGCCCAGGGTTGGGTGATCTTCCGGTGCTTCGAGGCGCCGCTGGGCTCCAAACTCCACATCTCAGCATACATGAACTCACGGGGCCGGCAGAGGTTGAGCCAGCAGCAGCAGGTGCCAGGTGAGTCCCGGCAGGTCCCCTGCAGTGGACCCAGCCCCCCTGCCAACTAATTCATTGTCCCCACAGACTGCTCGTGGCCTGCAGCACAGGCTGCTGTCCCCCAGTGCCAAGGTAGGTGCTGGTGTCACCCTGCCTCAGTTTGCATCCCCTGGGGGGAGCCAGGCACTGGATAGCAGGGCTGAGAGTGACCCTGGGGGTGCCATGCTCTGTGCCACGGTGCTGGGTGACCTGAGCTGCCTCTGATACAGTGCCCAGGCTGCGGGTCTCCCCGGGGCAGAAGGAGGTGGTTGTGGAGGTGCAGGGGGCTGCAGTAGGGCACAGCTACACACTCCGGCTGTACCACAACCGTAGCCATGGCAGCAGTGGGCCGGGGCGTGCAGTGACCACGGTGAGTATGCACCCTGTTCCCTGACCCCCCCACCCTGTCTGTTCTCCAGTCACTGCCCTCCTCCCCATTCCCGAGAAGCCGTGTCTGTGTTATAGGCAGTGTGCTGGGAGAGGGTCCCCTAGGGGCTCATCTCCCTGGGTGACCCTGTTGATGGTGATTTGCCATGGGGTGACCCACATCTGGTTGCTGGTAGCAGAGCAGTCCCATGAACTTTGTCCTGCCTGCCGATGAGGTGCTGCCCTGCCTCTGCCTGCAGGTGGGCATCCAACCAGGCACCACGGGGGTGGCAGGATGACACTAAAGAGGGGCTCCAAGCTCCATATATCTTCCTCTGGCATTCCATGGGGTCCAGCCAGGTCACAGTCACAGCACGGATATTTTTCTTGTCTCTCTCCCCACTCCCAGGTCTGGCTGGAAACCCAGGACCCACTACGGGCCACCCTGTGCCCCTTCTCTCATGGTACCTTCACTCTGAGGCTGGGGGGAGCTGGGACACCATGGGACCTGAGGGGACAGCACATGGAGTGACACCCCTCTTCTGCTGCTGCAGATGCCGAGGCCTGGGAGCGACTGTGGGCGCAGAGCCAGCTGATCCTGCATGTCGAGGGGCAGGTGCTGACCTCCTCTCTCTCAGCCCCCTGCGACCTCCTGGCTGAGCTGGTGCCCTGCTGGCAACCAGTGCCCTCTGGGCCCTGCCAACCCCTCCCTGGCCTGCAGCAGCCTGCTGGGGGGCAGGTGAGTGGGGCTTTGTGGGGCACTGGGGGCTTTGTGAAGGGTGGTGGTGACAGTTATGGAGCATCCCTTCCACTCACAGGGACCCCAGGAGTTTGGAGGGCTGCGGCCACACCCCAGCCTCTGCGTGCAGGTAGGACAGCGCTCTGCCCCACAGCTGCCCCACGGGCAGCTCTACATCACCCCCAGGCACTATTAATCCACTCTCTGGGGCAGGTGTGGAGCAGTGGGCAGGTCCGGCTGACCCAGTGCCTGCGGGACCGTGAGTACTGCTGGAGTGGGAGGGTAGAGGCAGCCTGTGGGTCCAGCTGGGGGGAAGGGCCCTCCTTGGCTTCCTCTCACCACCTACCCAGCCCCCTGGCACATTCCTAGGAGCGCTGCCCGGCCGCCCTGATGACCTCCTGCTGCTGGAACATGGGAATACCTCACTGTGTGCCATGGAGCAGGGTGCCTGCACACCCCTTGCCAGCTTCACCAGCATGGTAAAGAGGAAGGGACCTCCATGTCCTGGCAGCAGTGGCCCTGGTGGCACAGGGACCCCTGTGTCCAGCAGTGGTGGCACTGCTGTCTGATGTGCTGTGTTGTTGCAGGGAGCAGGGCACCCTGGACTGCTGGAGCAGGAGCTGCAGCAGGATGTGGCAGTAGGGCAGTGCCAGCAGGTCAGTGTGAGCAGCCAGCGGGCAGTGGGCAGGGACTGGGCAGTGTCTGACATGTCCCTGTGTCTCCCACAGCTGTGGCACCCATTGAACAGCACTGGGGTTGCACTCTGGGCCTGTCCCCTGCAGAAGTGTGAGTACTGACAGCCACAGTGGGGAAGAGGAGGGATAATAGAGGGTTGAGGGAGGGGACCCCCCTGTGGAACCACAGGAGATCTCTGCTGGGTGTCGGGGGCCCTTGGTGGATGCAGATTCTGCCCTGCAGACCTGCGTACCCACTGGGCACTGGTGTGGATGGGGGTGCTCCTGGGGGCCACCTGTCTCCTACTGCTGCTCTTGGTGAAGAAGGAGGACATGAAAGGTGAGTAGTGCACTTCTGGGGGCTGTGCCTGGCCTGGGATCCCTTCTGGGATCTTACTGCCTCTCCTCCCCACAGGATGGCTGAAATCCCTGAGGGCTGGCTATGGCTCTAGGGGTGAGTGTGGGCAGCCTGTGCCTATCCCAGAGTGGGGGCTCAGGGCGAGTGGGCAGCCTATGGCTATCGCAGAGGGGTCAGATGACAGAGTGAGGGGGTCTCCTACCTGGGTTAATTCATGTTTGCCTGCCTGACAGGTGTGTAGGGGTTTAGGGAACTGAGAAGAGGGATTGCAACCTGCCTCCCACTGTGTCTGTCCCTTAGGGTAGGTAGAGGGAACTGGGGGACTCACGTCAGTGAGGTCTCAGCTGCTTCCCATTGGGGCTATTTAGCTTGGGTACAGGGGGTGCTGCAAAGCTTGGGCAACAGAGGCAGGGGATGGTCTCCCCCATCGTGGGTGTTTCCCAACATGCCTCCCACCATAGGGTGGGTACAGGGTGCCCAGAGGGATCCAGACACTAATGATTGCCCCCTTCAGGTCCACTGCACGGCCGGCGGGCACTGCTGGTGCATGCAGCAGAGCCGGTGGCGGAGCGGGCAGCATGTGCCTTGATGGCAGCTCTGCACTCACTGGGGCTGACAGTGGTGGCAGCACCGGGGGGTGGCAGCGGGGTAGCGGCTTTGGGGCCACTGCCCTGGCTGCACGCCCAGCACCACCGGGCACTGCGTGACAGTGACACTATCATCCTGCTCCTCTCGCCGGCAGCCGTGGCTGCTGCACATCAGTGGGACACCGGGGCCAGGGTTGTGCCAGAGTCCAGGGCTGCTGAGAGCAGCCTTGGGCCCCGGCACAACCCTGGCCCTGATGATGTCCCCACTGTGGCGCCCTGCGAGGTGTTTGCGGCGGCTCTGTCCTGTGCCATGCCGGTGCTGGCGGTGGCCAGTGCTGGTGGGCACTATGTGGTGGCCCGGCTGGAGACCTCGGTGCCAGCAGTGCCACCAGCACTGCGGGCAGCCCCTGCCTTCGCACTGCCCAGCGAGATGGAGGCGTTCTTGCAGGCACTGGCAGGACCAGCTCGGCAGAGGGGCCGGTGGCTAGAGCCATATGTGGCAGTGGTGGCCGAGGCTCTGCAGCGAGCAGTAGGGGAATAAAGGGGTGACAGTACTCTTGCTGAGTGTGAGTCCAGCTCTGAGTCCAGCAGGGACTGGGATGGGTTGGGCAGGAATGATGGGGTGGACTGGGATAGTGTGGAGGGGGATGATGGGGAGGTACAGGGGGGGACAGGAAGGGG